TTAGTGGTTGCATTCTCATTCATTGTTGTGGTATACCTAATGAATCTATTCATTGGTTTGCTTGGCAATGAAATTCATCATTATAATACAAAAGAAGCATTTTTGGCTCAAAAAGCAAAAATTATTGTAAAGATTGAATTATTTTATTTATTTCCTAATCAACGTCGTTGGAGAAACTGGTTTCCAGATATATTGTAAATATAATAACAATTAATTAATTAAATCATTTTTAATAAATTTCTTTTAATAATTACTAAAAAATTTTTTTTTGTTAGATACTATAATGCACCAATTGATGATATTCGTAAAAAAATTAAAAAAGCAGATGATAGCAATGAGGGTGAAGAATATCTACCATATATTTCTGATAGGCTTAGAGAACTTGCTAGAGTGTCTAAAAAAACAGAAAATGGTTTTGATTCAAGATTTCAACAAATTGAAGCCAAACTTGCTGAAATGTCTAATAAAGCAGAAAATGATCTTAGGTTTCAACAAATTGAAGGCAACCTGAATGAAATAAAAAATATTCTTGAAAATAACGCAAAGGAAATGGAAAAAAAAATGGAAAATAAATTGAATCATTATAACAATCAATTGTTGATTCAAATGCAAATTTTGTTGAATGAAATTAAGAATTCAAAAAGATAATTATTAGATTTATTATTTTATTACTATTTATTTTATATGTAATAGTTATTTCACGGAGACTAACGCCCGTGATGAAAAAAGGTTTATTTTGTTATAAAAAAGTTTATTTTACATAAAGTCTTTTTTTTTATTATGATAAAAAATACAATTTACCTTTTGCACCCTTTCTTAAAACATTTATTTATTCAATAAAATGCGTCAAATTTACACCAATAAAAAGCAAAAGGGCCCCAAACAAGCATTTCAACCTATTTTTACTAATGCAAGTTCTCTCCTTTCCCAAAAAGTTTCCGAGGCTTTGATTTCTACTTTACCAGTTGATTCTATTCCTCAAAGTATTTCAAATACCATTTCCTCACAACAAGCACCATCTGAAATTTATGAGAAACTTAATTTTTATCGTCAAAAAGCTATTGTTGCAAATACTGAAAAATCAACTCGAAATTGGGTTTCTAAATTTGAAGAATTTCGCAAGAATTATAATTATATTATGCCACTTGATTACGAATTCCGAATTAAAAGTCTTCGCTTTTTTGCATAAATAATAAACATAAAATGTATAAACTAAACCGGTTTGGGGTTGAACATTCGAATCCCATTGTTTTGTAATTTTTCCGCAGCGGATTCCTCATAATAATAATAATAATAATAATACTTCATCACGAATTAATTTGTAAATCGTGTAAAACAAACATTTTATTATTTTCTACGCCGCCATTATTTTCGTTACTATATATTTATTACACGCTGTACATTTTTGTGTAAAAATTTCATGTCAAAATTTTGTGAAGGTTTTAAAAAAAAGATGTGAATTAACTTTACAAAAAAATTGGCAATATAAATTTTTTTATTTCAAATGAATCTAAACCTATTTAATTATGCTTTGCAATCGTGCAAACCACCTTCATCTATCAATATATGCAACTGTCATCATTTCTGTAATACAATTCATTATGAAATTCTTTGTGTCCCCACATCCGTCGACAAGGTTTAACCAATAGTAACATTGTTTATTTTATTGGGCTTTTTTTTTTCATTCAATTAATGACTCTTTGCAAACAAAAATTTTTACCATTTGCTGCCTAGCTTCAAAAGTTTATTATTTTACCTGTATAAATACTTGCTCTAATTCTTTTTTTTATAAATATCTACCTGCATGCATACTTAATTCAATTTTTTATAATTTCATACAATTTGAAAAAGCAAAGAAAACTTTCTCATAAGAAAAAAAGTGAAAATCGACAAGAATTAACTGAACAATCAAATCAAAATGAAATTCAATATTTCCCTTCTATTTTTGATTATCATTACTGTTGTTGTTGCTTTAGTAATTCCAGTTGACCGTGGCTTGAAGGAACGTAAGTATTTCGTTATTATTATTAATTGAGACTTTCCCGAATTATTTTTTGATAATTATTAATTATCTTGGATATGAACCTAACTAATAACTGAACTTTGTCCATTATGATCAATCAATATCATCATTTTGAAAAAAATATCAATTGTTGATTTAAATAATAAATAGGGTAAGTATTTTCACTACAATCAATACCGTTGTTTTTAAAAAATATTAACTGTTTATTTCATTTATTTTAAAATAATAAATAGCCAGTGAGTATTTTCATCATCATTATTATTACTAGTCAATATCATTGTTTTTGAAAAATATTAACTGTTTATTTCATTTTATTTTAAATAATAAATAGATGGTAAGTATTTTCATCATTGTTACCACTAGTCAATATCATTGTTTTTGAAATATTAACTGTTGATTTTCATTTCATTTTGAATAATAAATAGTCTGTAAGTATTTTCATCGTTATTATTATTGCAGTCAATATCATTGTTTTTGAAAAAATATTAACTGTTGATTTTTATTTTATTTTAAATAATGAATAGTGCCTGGTAAGCATTTTCATCATCATTATATTATAGTCGATATTATATTATTGTTTTTGAAAAATATTAACCATTGATTTACATTTAAATAATAAATAGTCATAAGTAATTTCATCATTATTGGAGTCAATATCATTGTTTTTGAAAATATTTTAAATAGTGAATAAGTTATAAATATCTTATATTTGCTCTTTGATTCTCTTATAGCTAGCTAATTACATTTATTTAAATTTTTGGTAATATAAATTATATTATTTTTTTACTTTTTTACAATTATTTCATTAAATTTATCATTCGATGAGCTTTTGTTTTTTTAATTTTATATTTGTTATTAATTTTACATTGTGTAAGAATTTTTTATATTAAAAAAACAAAAAAAATTATTCAAATTCATAAATTGAAATATTATGGAATGGGTGAAATTTTAATTGGCTAATTTGAATTTCACATATGTAAATTTGAATTCCACATGTGAATTGCGAATTCACATAATTTCATTTTCACGTACAACAGGCCTGGCACAGAGAAATAGTAAATTCAATCTTTTTTTCTTGTTAATAATGAATTCAATTTTCAAATTAAGCGTAGAAACACAGATGATAATAAGATTTCAATTGACAAAAAACAATTGTATATTTGAAATTTTCTAAATTTTGTTTTTTTCCCTTTTTGTTTGCTTTTTTGCTTTCATTAGTTGGTTATCTGCATTATTCTTGCTTCAATAGTTTCATTTGATTACACTAGGGAAATTAAATATCGAGCCACTGCATAATAGTGATTCGCCACATACTGAAACAATAGGCTTTTTATTTACTGCATCTTCTATATATGAAGCTTTATTTTTTTCTTTTAATGTACAGATCACCGATGTGTTAGATGTAGTCTTAGTATAGACATTGTATATGTGCCTGAACATGGAATCATCATCACCGTTGTTGGAAGGATCTTTTACATGGCCAGTGAAGGTCCAAACTGGTGGTGATATGGGTAAGTCAAATTTTGGTGGATCTTTGTTTAAAGTATTTGTTATAATTGAACTGGTACAACCTTGAATAAATTTTTTTTTTGTAAAGAATAAATAAATGTGTTATTGCTATTGATAAATTATTTTTAATATATACTGTATATATATTATTTTATTACGTTCATCATCATATGCACATCTCCCAACCATCATTCCAAAGGAGTGTTTTTTATTATCATCTATGAGATTAGTATTTTCGTTATAATATTCTTTAAATCGAAAGTTAAAAAATTCTTCATAATTGATAACTATTGCCTCTCCAATAAATATGGTTTTTTTAACATAATTTACTTCACCGATAAAACATAACGAAGTGATGATTGATGCATTTTTTAAAATTAAAAAAATGATTATGAATAGTGTGTGCGCATGTTAATATATATATTTAAAAGGCTTTTTACCATGAAATAAACATTAAAAAAGAATAATAATAACTCCACGTTATTATTGTTTACTAATTACAAATTTACAAATAATAAAATAATATGTTTATTTGTCAATATATTTATTCTACTGCTGCTTACCATTAGTTTCTTTCGTCATTCTTTCTACCACTAAAGCAGTTAAATTTTTTTTTAATGAATGGTTGTTCTCTCGAAATGTGAAAAATCATTCTCGCCGATTTTATTTGTTTGCTTGCGTTAATATCTACGAAGTCACGCAGATTTTTGATTTAATATTGACATTAAAGAAAAAAGACATCTTCTGCTTGGTCATGATAATGCTGTGCCATAAAATTTTTTATAAAAGTAGAATTTACCCTTCTTACATTTCTTAAAAAAATTCTAATATATTTTGTTCAATTAATTCTTTTATAAAATGAGTGATGACTGTATAGAAGTAGTGACAGTCAAAGGAAGTAGATAAAGATGAAATATCAGCAAATAATACTAAAAATCTGGCTGGAAATTATATAAATGTTGATGCTATTGAACAACAAACTATAATTAATGCACATAATGGATGTTCCATTGATGAAATAAAGTGTAGTCCTAGTTATAAGTTTTTAGTAACTCTTAGTAAACAAGACAAATCTATTGCTGGATGGACAGTTGATTTTGAAAAAGGAACAATTCAACAAGATGGTCAGGATAATTATTTTAAATATTCTCGAAAGCACATAATGGATGTTTCAGATAATAAATATATACTTGATTGTGATGATTATTTATTATGCATATTATATTATTTATAATAATAAATATTTTTTTTTTTTGCCAGTCGCGTTTACTTCGTCGACAATCATTTCGTCGACACCCATTTCGTCGAATGTTCATTTCATCGAATGTTTATTTCATCGAATGTTCATTTCGTCGAAAATTATTTTATCCTCGAGCCAGTGACCGAACGAGTTAGATGCGAGGAATGTGGAAAATTAGTTAAGAAATTAGGTGAGGAAAGTGGGGAAGTGTGAGGAGAAATTTGTCTAATGAAGTTTTTTTTTTGTGACGAAATAATTTTCGACGAAATGAACATTCGACGAAATGACTGTTGACGAAATGAATCAGACCCCTCTATTTTATTCCTACTATAATTATGTATACATTTCTTTTTACAAAGGAATAATAAATAAATTGCATCATCCAGGTAATAAATAATACCAAAACCATGCTTGGCTGTTACCAAATGAGCATTCATTATTGACGAGAGTCAGCATTCATGTGTTATCACCTACCACCTGCTAGCATAAAGTTGTAGTCTGCAATTGATTCAAGATTCTCAACTTGGGATGCTGTTTTATCAGGGCACACCTAGAACTGCCTTTCTGAACTCCTGGCAATTTTCTAACCCATTTTGAAACCAATTTGAAGAGGTTTTTTAATAGTGTCTATCCCAGTTTCAAAGAGCTTTGAAAATTTTCCAAACTAATGTTTGAGTTTCAAAGAGCAGCACTAGGCACACCCACACACAAGCAAAAGTTTTGTACCAAGACAGGGGACTGACTGAACACACCCCATATATAAAAATGTGAATTATGAAAACTTTCAAAATAATGATGATTCATGTAAATTTTTGATATATATTAATATATTTATTATGTACAATTATATATACATTAATTATCTTTGTAAAAAGGGAAAATAATAATTTTTAAATTCTTAAAGTCAAATATAAACTAACTTCATCCAATACAATACAGTTTCATTTTTGCTAAAATATCTCCATAAAAATCCTTTCTATTTTCTGATGTTATCACAATTTCATTACAATCATAGGTCTCATCATCATGTGCCTGAGCATCAATGATAAAAATAAAGACATGCTCTCCAACATTTGCATCTAACACCTTTTTATGTTCAGACTTTACAACTCCTTTATCCAGGATATTTGGTGAACATCCAATAATTTCTTTTTTTCAACCAATAACTTCTTGCTTGTCTTGGATAAATATAGGTGGATTTGTCATCATTATCCCATCTGAAAAAGAGGCATTTGGCAGGTTGTGGAAAGTAATACACCTTTCTTTAAATTCTTTAGAATAATCATTAAAAAATTGATTCCAATGGTCTTTATCAACTATGTATGGTGTTGAAGGCACAACAAGCTTGGTTCAAATTCAAATATATTTATCTGATTGTCCTTCCAATGGAACCAATTCAGAAAGTCTACATTTCCCTCTTTGACCTTCAGTCACTTTTTTATCACTAATAGACTTACAATATAATCCCCCAAAGACAAAAAACCATTACTGATAATGTCAATGCCTAATTTTCATCTGATGAAAGTTATTTTCTACATAATAAAGAAGTTTGATTGCTGCTAGCTTGCTTTGATCTAAATTATGATAGACTTGCTGTAAAGTGTGAAATGGAAGTACCAGCTTTTTTTTGTTCAGGAAAATCAGTTCATCCATTTCCAAATCCTATAGGGAAAAGCATGAAACAAATAAATAATTTATATCTAAGAGCATGTAAAGATTTTCCATGTTTTCCATCAACTGCTTGGTTTCATTCTCACAGTTTACAAATTTAAATACATTGAAATATCCAAAACGTCATCAGGAAGAATTGAAGAACCATGCAGTGATTCACGAAGTTGGCTTTCTGTGTCAATAATATATGGTTCAAGTTTCTGCTTGAGGTTATCAACTGTCAAATTTCGACCTGCAATAGCAACATAATTTAATAAGAACATTGGAAATTGAAATCAGTATAAATTAATAAACTGATTATTATAAATGTAATGATAAAAAAAATTTCACACAGAGCACAAAATTAATTAATAAACAAAATCGCCTATATAGTTAAGAAATTAGATAATTTTATACTTTACCTGCTGTAAAAAAGAAAAAAAAAAAACAAAGTATGAGTTAGTCAATGTCATAAACAATATACAAATGATAAATGAAAAATTATATTTTTTTACACAATTTGTTCATTACCTTTTTCTTTGCCAAACTCAACTAATGCCTTTTGCAATTCCACTCCTTCTTTTCTTCTTTCAACTCTTTTACCCTATCTTCCCATCCTTTTTCCTGTTTTTCATTCAAATCCCCCTTCATTAACTCTTCTTCCAACTCATTTAACTTCTCCCCCTTATACTTTCCTTCTTCCCACTTCTTCAGCTCTTCCATTGCCTCATCTAATCTATTATTTGCACGTTCTAATTCTTGTTTAATTACTTCTTTTGTTGCCATTTTAAAATTTAAAAAATTTAGTAATTAATTGTTTTTATGCATAATTTAGACCAATGATAAATTGGTGGGCACGTGACTTTGAATTAATAAATTTTTTTAAAAAAAAATTATTTTTATTCAACTAATAATAGAAAAATACACAAAAATATAAGTTAAAAAAATTGTCAGAGCACTTGCATGGGAGGAAATACTTGGACCCAAAGCCATTTGTAAGTATTACCTATTCTTTGGGCACTGACAAAAATCTAACTTTCACTACTACTATTGCTATTCTTTTTATTATTATCAATAATAATATTACTAATATTTACATTTTCATTGTTTTTATTATCTTTTTCATTTTCACTCTCCACCACTTTTTTCTTCTTCTGCTTCTATTGTTTTCCTTTTAGGATTTGTTTTCCATTGGTAAAAGTTTTTTATTGTGGAAGCAACAACACCTTTTTCCTCTGCAATGGTTTGTAAAAATTTTATTTCTAAAGATAAAAGCTTTTGGGATTTTTTTATGAAGCTCAGAAGATTTGAGATATTGGATTTATTGAAAAGATTTTACTATACTTCAGGCTATTATTATGATAATAGTGTTAAGCCTTGTGTAAGATTAATAATTCCATATCCTGGATTACTTACATACAAGCCCAAATACTCATTATTGAAAGAATTATTATATAAGCCATATAATAGTATATTTGTTGAATTAGTTGAGTTGGATACTTTAGAGCTATACAAGCATTTAAATATTGAACTAATTTTGGATCATAAATGGAATACTTTTGGATTCAGATATTATATTGGAATATTGATTTTTTATATAGTATTTTTATTAAGCTTTGCTATTGCAACTTCCATTTCAACAGGTCAGTTATCTGATAATAACAGAAATTCATTATTAACCACAACAATTGTCCTTGGAGCAATCCATCTCACAATAGAAGTTAGACAATTTATCTGGAAACCATTGAGATATATCACAGATTTCTGGAATTACTTTGGCATGTGTTATTTTATTATTGTCATTTTATTACTTGTTATTAATTTTAATAATAATATTATTATTTATTTAATTAATAGACCTAAGTGTCTACTCCTTAGCAATTGTTACTTCAATTCTATGGTTGCATTATAATAAACCACCACCTATTCAGCTGATTTCTGCATCAAATTTATTATTAGATTTAAGATTAATGTTATTTTTAAGAGTTTTTAAAAAATTTGGAGCATATTTTGCCATTATTGTAGGAGTTGCTAAAAAAGCCTTTTTGGTTCTTAATAATAATATTTATAATTATTTTGAACTTTTCACATGCATTTTTTTTATTATTGAAACCAAGTCAAGATATTTCATTAGATAATCCTGATTTCAATGATGATATCAACAATCCTTGGAACCTTGTTAATAAATATTAGTGTTCCATGTTGCAACCAAAAAAGCAAACAAAATGGTCATAAAGGTGGTTGCAATCATTTTTATATGATGCAAAAGTGGTAGCAACCATCATCAAAAGTTGCAGCCAGTATCCTTAATAAATATTATACATATTTTGCAAACAACGATTCATATAATCAAGATTCATTTCTTGTACAACAACCTGATTCCAACACAAACATGTTTGCACAGTTTTCTTCTTCAATTCTGGCAATGTATAATTTTCTTACAGGTATTAATTATATATATTTCATTAAAATAATAATCAACTTAAATAATTTAATTTAATTGATTTTTTATTAGGAGATAATGGAGCATTTGGAGCTTGGGAGTTGCAGAAAAATTCATATCTCACATTATTAGTGGTTGCATTCTCATTCATTGTTGTGGTATACCTAATGAATCTATTCATTGGTTTGCTTGGCAATGAAATTCAACATTATAATACAAAAGAGGTATTTTTAGCTCAAAAAGCGAAAATTGAATTATTTTATTTACTTCCTAATCAACGTCATTGGAGAAACTGGTTTCCAGATATATTGTAAATATAATAAAACCAATTAAATCATTTGATAAATTCCTTTTAATAATTTTTTAATAAATTTTTTTGTTAGATACTATAATGCACCAATTGATGATATTTGCAAAAAAAATTAAAGAAGCAGATGATAGCAATGAGAATGGAGATGATCTCCCATATATTTCTGATAAGCTTAGAGAATTTACTGAAGGGTATAAAAAAAAACAGAAAATGATTTTGATTCGAGATTTCAACAAATTGAAGACAAACTTGTTAAAGTGTCTGAAAAAAAACAGAAAATGATATTGGTTCAAGGTTTCAACAAATTGAAGACAAACTTGTTGAAATGTCTAAAAAAACAAAAAATGATTTTGACTTATGATTTCAACAAATCGAAAATATTCTTGAAAATGGAAAATAAATTAAATAATAACTAGAGTGACGATGGGTGGCGGGCGATAACCACCACCACCATCCTTAAAACACTTACTCATCATTCCTTGTTGAGGCTTGTTTTTTTCTTTTATTCGATCCTTGCGACATTTTAAAATAAAAATTTTAAAAATAAAGTTTATGAATTAATTGACGCATATCACAATTATTTATCCCTATTGGTTTTTTTTTTTGGTAGGACAGACGCGAATTGATTTTTTTTCTTGGAAAAAACAATTTATTTTTTGACAGAGTCCAAGGTGACAAAACGTGAGTGTTGTTGTTTGGTTTGGTTTTGGTCTCCTAAAGAAAACATGTTAATAATAGAGGTACCATTTTTTACTTGTATTGATTGATATTTTTATTTTTAATTGGAAATCAAAATGCGGAGCAGATCTTGCTGGTATAATTACAAGATTTTCATTGATAATATTCTGCTTTTCATAATCAATAATATTAATAATATTAATAATATTATATAATCACAAGAAGATGTCAAGGCAGCACACCATTGAAGAAGTAACATTTTGAGTATGCGACGTTTGATTATCGGAAATTTACAGGTGTTGAAGCACGCACACTACCTTGAACATATTACAGTCATTCTCACACATTCCTCATGTACACAAGGCTAATCTGACCACGGTGCTCTCAATGATACAACGATGCTACAACAGAAATCCAGGGGGGAGCCCCAAGGCCCTGGAGTTTACCAATCGTCAATGACGCTTTCACTAATCTTCCCTCACAGAGATGGCTGCTGGCATGCTAGATGAAAAGTTGCTTGTAATGATCCCGCCTCTAGGGCAAGGATGGCTCTATGTCCAAGTCGCAACTCTGCTGATGAATATTAAAAGAATCTGCAACTCGTTCCAAGCACAGGAGGTTGCAATTCAGAGCAGGGTTGGTGGCCCTGAAATTGCATTTGGGCTCTGATGTTAAGAGGAAAGTTGTAAAATAGTGTTT